GGATTTTCATACTTTTTCAATTATTTTTATGGTTCCCCAAATTTTCAATTTATAGGTATCAATTTTATCTTAGGTAAAGGATTTAAGCTTTATACATAATCAGTCTCTCCTTTTGAAAGAAAAAAATAACGGAAAAACGTAATGAACATTTAAAATAAAAAGATCATTAAAAAATAAACCTTTTTGTGAACTTAAAAAATATTACGGATCGTTCGATGAGTGTGCCAAACAATAATAATACCTGATGGTGGCGCGTGGCTGCGAATCAAGACGGGTCTTACGCGCATACCCGTATATTCTTTTACATTAGTAGAAAGCCTAAATATGATTTCTCCAACCTAGAAAGAGTCATTTTCGATAGATTTTGACCTGATCCCTTGATTGGTAATATAATTTTTTTAATTAGAGTCTCCCTGTGGCTTAAAAAATTGATTTAAATAATAAAATGCATTTCTAACCTTAAAAACATTTTTTTAATAAAAAGTTAAGGCCAAGATCAGAAAGAGGAGGTCAAAATCTATCGATTTTATATTTTACTATATTTTTTAAAATTATTTTTTATTGCCATTGAGCGAGTTCAAAATCAGAGGTTTTGTGTAAAAAGTGCCGTGCACACCCTCACTGGTCCACTTTCAATGTACGCACTTATGTATACACTTGTTTTCATTTATTTTTTTGCAACCCTAGAAGGCAGATAGGTAGACTTCATAGGTACAAACAATAAGTGTTTATTATATTTATTACTCCATTATATAATCATAAATTAACTTACAATTATTTGTTTCGAAATTATTCGTAAGTATTTAGTTTCTGGTGCGTTGAAGTTTTTAAAATAAAATTACTATTAAGCTATATATAAAAATTTGATTTTTATGTTTTTAATTATATAATACTAACAAATGCATAAATTCCAATTGTTTTTATAAATGTTATTATAGAAACTGTTTTTCTGTACATCTTATTCCAAAAGTCATCCTATCTCTTATTTCACCCTTCGGCTCATTGGGAAGACCGGGGCAGTATAGGTTACTAGGGAATACGGCTCTTTGCCATATTTGTAAAACTAAGTGAGGTATAGTCTTGATTTTTTTATCTGTAATACATTTTAACCAACAATAATAAATTACAATACAAATCACACAGGTAATCAAATAAAAAATTTCTTATTGTTGATCGAAATTTTTACTACGAAAAAAAAAATTTTAACCAAATTTATTAAGCTGAAAAAATAGTAAAAGTTATTATTTAGTGACTTATAACTAACTACTGATATTGATAGATGAACTAGTGTTGTTTAATTTTATGCCTTGAAGAAATTAGTTTTTGCCATTATTAACTGTTACTAACCGATATAAATAAAAGCGGCTTACAAGGCAGTATGGGTCAGCATCAGCAGCAAAGCAGACGATCTATAAAGACTGTGACATGTAGTTATAACAGTATAGTTCGTTAGTTTTAATTCAGTGATTGACAGAGAGAAAATTAGAAGTGCTGCTAAAAACCACAACGTTCCTCATGGAACTTTGAGACGTGAGATTTGTAGTTTCAAAAAGTGGAAGCATAATGATGAATTTACATACAAACCCAGCGTGCAATTTTCATATTAAATTAATTATATGATGTAATATTTTGCAACAAATTTTTTTTGAAGTTACACAACCAAAAACCTCACTCTAATTGTGTATTTTTCAAAAAATATGTTCAACTAAAATAATTACGTAAGTATCAATGTATTCGATCGATTAATTAAGAAAAATTTTTTACTCTATAAAGAATTGCCTTGCGTAAATGAAAGCACCAAAGTCGGAGTGTCTCCATTTAAAATAATCAGGCCTATCAAGCCCCATCGTAAGACCCATACTGACCTGTCCTTGCGGCAGTATGGATTTTTTGAGATACTAACCTTTAATGTTTTTTCGTGAATCAAGCATTCACTTGACTATTTTTCAAGTAGGTGAACTTTGTTTCTGGGCTGTTAAAGAATTTATTTGGTGTTTTAGTTAATTATTTATGATAACATTTTTAATTTTTAAGTTATGTTAACCCATGGGTGACTCATGTTACCCCGGTCTTCCCTACCCGTAATAAAACTCTATAATTTATTTTCAGTAATAAACAAGTTATTATCTTATTTAGATGTTTAGACCAGAAATATATTATATATGTGACAACAATGTAAAAATAATATTTAGTTTATACACATACATATGGAAAAAATTCATCTCAACACAAAAATCAATCGCATTATTTGTATCACACGATTATTGATTCATTTATTTCAGAAAGTAAAGTAAAGGTTTCCAGATAAAATTAAAATTATATTAAAAGACAGTAGCCTAAAGCGGGTGTGTTAACGTTTGGGGTATAGAAAATTTGGTGTAAAATGTAGTAAGCGTCACAATGAGTGTATTCGTTTTTGACGGATCAAAAAATACATACCTCCAGTTTTTCTATCAAATTAATAATTTTTTGAAAATTGCATGTAATTAGGCCATTCCACTGTGTTACAGCCTTTAAGAAATTACCATAAAGTACGCCAAGAGTAATGATAGCCTGTGACTGACAGTGATATGTGAAACGAGAGAGAAAGCCACTCATACTAGTCCTCCTGTGTCCTTATCTAATAAATGCATGCGTATAGACTCTTTTCTATGTGTTCACTTATTAGACAAGGACACAGGGAGACTCACTGACAGTGATATCTTTCTTTGTACAAACCGCAAGATTTGGCCCCTAGCGCGATCTATTCTATGACTTCTAGTTACGGCTTGTTTGGGACTGGGCGAAACTCGAAGGTACTCGCATAACTTCCATAAACGATTCTAGCACACTTAAAATATTATCATTGAAAATTGTTCACCTTTGTTTTGCTTAATTAATAGTAATATCACTAGACTTTACTACTTTTTTAACATCACTTTCAATTTCTCCTTCAGTACTTTTTACGTATGGCTACGCAGTTTATACAACTTTGCAATTTTAAATACACTATTAATTCGCTTATGACGTGTAAATATACAAAACTGCTTTTGTATTGATTATTTTTATAAGTTTGTTGATGTTTATTCTTTAAAAAATAAATAGACAACTGTACAAATGAAGAGTTTGTTATGCATGACAAGTTGTGCATGATGTTTTTATTGATTTCTTCATTAGTGCACAATGCTTGATGCACTTAAAAAAATTGTAATTTCTCAATAGATCGTTTCTTGACAGTATTATTAAAATTCTAAACCGCCAATGCCCGTGTATTTTAATAGTTAGAAGTAACTAACAATTTTAAATTATAATTAACTGACTACTCACTTTTCAAGGAAAATCACTCCTAATGTATACTCCAACGTATACTCAAGCGCAAGTTACAAGTACAAAAAAAATTATATCTAAGCGAAACTTGAATTTGCTGCGTTTGAATAATATAACTCATTTACATAAAGCAAAACCCATTCCAAAATGGTATGGTATTTTTGTCAACAATAATTCAAATACTATGATTGATCTTATATATGCACAGTTGTTAAAATATTGGAAGTGTGGCTTTGATCGATTCTTTATCTTCAAAATTGATCCATGACTAAGCTTGCCAGATGGTGATAAATTTATTTCTGAAAAATAGTACGCTAAAGTATAACTATAAGTTTTTTGATAAATTTATATCAGCATACTTTTTATTGCTACTTAATACTGTCTGAAACTAGAATTTTTCCTTAATTGGATAAAAAGTCATTAAAAAAGCAGTCATATTAACATAAAGACAGCTATAAATAAAATTCCACATTTCTTTTTCCATCCGTACACAAAAGAAATTAAAATTTTAAATGCTAAAAAATTTTATCAAATAGTTTTGATCGTGGATACATGAATGCTTCTCAACGAAAAGTATATATAATACTAACAAATGCATAAATTCCAATTGTTTTTATAAATGTTATTATAGAAACTGTTTTTCTGTACATCTTATTCCAAAAGTCATCCTATCTCTTATTTCACCCTTCGGCTCATTGGGAAGACCGGGGCAGTATAGGTTACTAGGGAATATANAAAAATTTTATCAAATAGTTTTGATCGTGGATACATGAATGCTTCTCAACGAAAAGTATGATAAATCACATGTAGAAATAAAATAATTAACAAAAAAGAAATGATGAGAATCATCAGAAGAGAAATTTTTATACGTACAATATAAACCAAATGATATCAGAGATTATATAAAAGATTCTTAAAGGAGTGATAAGAAAGTTATCACTATTTACGTATGAAAATCAAATAAATAGCATAAAAACTAATAAGAGTTATCAAAGGAAAGTCCTATACAAGCAAGGAAAACGTATGACTAGTAATAAAAAAGTAAGTCAGCACAGTTGATTTCCAAATATTTATTTTCTGAGATTATCGTCATTAAAAATAACAATAGTTTGCAAAAAATCTTCACAAAAAATAACAAATGCTTTTTTTCAGCTATAATATTATTTGTTAAGACTAATACTGATAGACAATACTACTTTTAGTTAGAAAGAAAAAAAAGACAACAAGACAAATGCACACACCCGCCAGTCTGGAAATTTTTATCCTCCAAACGTTAGAAGATACGTTCGTTTCAATTATTGTGTGAGAGATTTAATTAGATCTTAAATAAGCAAAGTATATTTCACGAGTGTAGAAGTCTTGTAATCCGAGTGATACATTGAACAATCACCTTACAGATAAATGATAATTGCGGCAGTTAGAGCCTTGAAGTGAGTCATGTAGATATATTTGGCTACGCTGATCGAGCTGCTTGAGTTGTGAAGGTATACCTCCAGAATCCTTGATGCAAATTGCAAAAAAGGCTGAAGAGAGGGAAGGAAGTCACCAAGTGGTTGCGCGTAGCTCCACACACACGCACTCATAGCATAATGGTAGCAGTAACAATACTTGCATAAATTCAATGTACAATCACAAAATGCTGACGCAGACCTGCTCACTGCCACTCATCTTATATAAAAGTAAGAACTGCTCGCTCACTTTCAGCTTGTTTTGTTGAACGTGCACCTTTTTCTTTTCTATTTTCTTGTTCTTTAACTTCTTTTACTTTTTTTTGTTATCATCATTAATAGTATTATGAGGCTACTTCGAACACTAGTCACGCTAATATTCATTGCCAGTGCAACTTGTAATATCAGTAAGTGTCACCTTTATCTTGAGTATTAAATCGATTCCCTCTTTATTTTTTAAGCATTTTTTACATTAAGTATAATTAAATAATCAATATTTTGCATTTTACGATTATTTATAAGACTTCAACCCATCATTTCTTAGATAACACAGCTCTCAAAAGAGAAAAAATCGTCGGTGGTCAGTATCGTGCCATTTATCAGGCTCCGTATACGGTGAGTGTAGATATGCTATTACAGCAAAGTCATTTAAAGTCACATGTTAGATAGACAATCTCGTGAGGTATTTAAAAATATAAGAGACTTATAGAGCTCCACCCACTGTGAATTCAATTGTTTATCGATTCAAGCATCATATTATTGATTGGACTTTCTGATGGATTAAATCTCTACTGTTTGGCCACAGTTATAAATTACTAGGTCCATGATATTACATTATTTTTTCCAGCTTATTTTATAGTTAAAAAAAAAGTACATGATATTTAAGGGGGCTCAAGTGAGCACTGGTACCAACCCAAAAATAATTGTGTCAGTTGGTATCCTACTGTACGTATAAGTGCAAGCAGCATCATGTATGTATGTGTATATAACTCTAAAAACTGTATGCTAATACAAGTAGAATGCAAGGACTTGATGAATACTTTACGGAATATCTCGAATTTTTTCAGAGTTATTTGTATTTTGCAAGGAACCATCTGAAAGTTGAGATTTTTTTTATAAAACAGTTACCATCCTGATATGTAACTCCTACATTATAGTTGGAAAATTAAGATATATTTATATTGCTCCATGAAAAGTTGTGTATAATGTGCGAACTTTGAGAGCAAATATCTCGAAGTTTCCCACGGTTAGAGAGATGAATGAAGACACCGCTGGATTCAGCGGGTTCTTATCTATCAATTAAACTACCTACAACCTATTAAATCATCCCGATAGAACCCCCTTAAACTAAATTGCAGGCTCAACTTCTGCATGCGGGAGCTGTAATTTGCGGTGCAGCAATCATTACCAATCAATGGCTTGTTTCTGCTGCTCACTGTTTTGAGTTTGTACATTTTCTATTAACTTACACCATAAAATAAAATATACTCTGTAACCTCAAGTTTAGTAAAAAAGGAATACCATCAACAGAGAATCTTATGACATGACTGTCCTTACTGGCTCAACGTACAGAAGTAAGGGGCAGCGGCACATCATCGATAAAGCAATCATTCATCGTAATTACAATAGGGTGACCAACGATAATGATATATGTTTAATCAAGGTACGTATGGTAAAATTAATAGTATCTCTAAAAACTCGAGTGGCCACACGAAATCATCAGATTATTATCATAAATTGCTGTATAGTTGAAGAAGCCCATGGTATTTGATAACAGACAAAAATCTGTACCTTTGTCTACGACAAGAGCTAAAGTTGGACAACAGCTAGTTATTTCTGGATACGGGCTTGAGGGTGTTGGTATTTGATACTGTCATTTGAGTACCGCAAGCGGTGATTGCCTTTGCAATTCATGGTAAATTTGACACTACAGGAAAGGAGACCAGTTTCACCATTTCTAAAAATTGCCGTGGTACCAGTTGTCGATCACAGAGTCTGTGCATTTAAGTACATCCGTGATCCCATCACGGACAACATGTTCTGCGCAGGTATTGGGGAGACCGATGCTTGCCTCGGTGACTCCGGTGGACCCGGGGTTATCAACGGCGAGCTAGCTGGCGTCGTATCATCTGGTATGGAATGTGGCTCCAGAATCTACCCCGGAGTTTATACACGGATCGACAAGTACTTCAACTGGATTGTCAACTACACAGGGAATAAATTAGGGTTACAAGGCTAAGTTATGCTTGGTTCTTAAAATTTGATTATTTGTTACTGATTTTCGTGAATATAGTTAAAAATTCAGCCAAAAATTTGCTTATTTCTTAACTACAGAGTATACTTATAGTAGACTCTGATTAAAATTGAATGCAATAAATAATAAAACATTATAATTACAACTGAGTAAGTCACAATAGTTTTTTACAGTTTTGTAATTTTATATGATTTTTTCTTATTTTGTGCTAAAGATGCTCAAAATAAATAGACTTTAAATTAGGAATTTATAATACGTAAGAGCTAGATCTAATCTAAAATACAGACTACTTTTTTGCGTCAGTGTGTTTAACAACTCGGTACTTTTAATTCTTTTAATCCTGTAACAGCAATTTTTTGAACTTCAAGAAAATAAATATTTTCCTTTCTCAGACAAACCTTTTTTTGTATAAGACCTTACTATTTGGCTTATGAATAACTAAAAGGTAGTTAATGTAACACAGTAATTTAAAATTGTAGCACTCGTCTTTTTTTATTACAGAATATTAACTACTTCAAGAAATAACTTTATCTCTTAATTACAATGCATGAGCATTAAACTGAAAACTGTAGACCTTACAACGATTTTTTGATATTATCAAATCAAAATTTTTAAGTCACAGTAAATAAGTTAATATACAAAATGAATTTTCAAAAAACTTGATTAAAAAAATCGTTCTTATTCAAACATTACATGTGACACAATGTGACCGTTTGGTTATCATACCAATAAAAACCTAAATACAAAGTTAACGTATTATCTTGTTATACTAGTTAAAAGCAAAATGGCAATCACTCAAGAAACAAAATTGGAACTCGCACTAACAATTAATGTTTAGTAACATAAAAAAATTTTTTATTGTACGTCATTAAATGAAACATTTGACTTGAATTTTGCATTGCATTAAAAAAAAAAAGCAGGACTATTTTACCAAGTGTAAACCTAGAAAAATTGCGTCCGAGCTTTTTGTAATACATATATTTATACACAATAGCTTGGTACATTCACACTTTTTCTTCATGCAATTTAAGTCATTTGCATAATTAAATGATGAGGAATGAAAATTTTCTATTTGGAGGACTGATGCTATTCCTGTCAGGGTTATAAAAATTGTTTTACATTGTTAAATGAGCATGCAGATTATTTATCATTAATCCCGTAATTTATGAGAAACTAAAATTTTCTTAGATTTTTGAATCATTCCAGAAGTATTCAGGAACTATAATAATATAATAACAAAGAATATGCGAGTTTAAATTTTGTCTTCCAATGATCATTATCTTACTTGATGAACTTATAAGTGAAAGTAACTTATACAAAAATAATGTTCAAAATATTTTTTCAACAAATTATCATTTATATAGGTGTAGTTTGCAATTCGGAAACCAGTGGACAGTAGGTGTTTGGGTACCCAAGTAGGAAGTTATACTTCTATAAAATTATATAACAAAAAATATAATTTTGAGTATAAAAATAACTTTTACGGAACAACACTGTGTATGAAGGTGGTGCAATTATCGTGGGAATAATTATACCTACGTTCATTGGGTATCCCCCTTCACCTCGCCCCCCATGATGTACTTCCAGTTTCCTCTACACTACATGACATCACCACGCCACCACGCTACAAATTTTAAATATATAAATTTCATTTCTTTTTCTTTTAACACATTATAAAAAAAGTCAAGGCCCTTACCCACTCTGCTATGAGCGTGCCCAATGTAAGGAATTCGATTACTTTATTTTGTCGTACAGTTCGTTGCTTATTTTCAATGTAGATTTTTATTTACTGTATATTTAATGAAATATGTTTTTTAGGTACACGTCTCGAAAATTTCAAGATTAGTATATATTAGCAGAGCAGCTTTCATATTTATTAATAAACATTTATTCACTTATCATCAATTTGTTCCTTTCAAAATGAGTAAATAATTGTTAATACAATTTTTCACATTTTTTCATAATTTTGATATGAAAAAAAAAAAGATTTTAGGTACTGTAGAAAAACAGTAATTAATTTTCATTGCATTTTCTTCTTTCACAAAATTTCCTTTGTTATTGAGAACAAAATTTAGAGAGGTGGGAGGAGNTTCGGGACGTTCTTCCCATAGTTGTTGGGGAAAAAATTTAGAGAAGTGAGAGAAACGCTAATGTGTGCAGTAAAGCTAGCAATTGTTTTCCTCATGAGGATGTACTCACGTACATGCTTTTACGCACACTTCATCCCCTTTTTCTAAATTCATTTAAAAGCCAGCTAGTAGGTCTATTTGAAAATTCGATAGATTTATCTAGAAGTAATCTTTTGCACCCAAAAAATTGGGAGATTCCTACAAAGTATATAAAATAACAGCACAGTCAAACGAGTTGCAGTTTTTGTAGGTATTTTTTATGTTATTTCAATATACGTTAGACGTTTGAATAACATCTGTCAAAAAACCTATGTGTGATGAACGTCCTGAAGGGACATTCACAGGCATGTAATACTAACCTATTGAAGAAAGCTATACTACAGGATGGTTTTTTTTAATTTTGCGTATGAAATTATATTTTGGGTAATAAATATGGACGAGGAATAATCGTTGGATCGTATGTTACAGATGTGAGCGTGATGACGTTACAGATGTAATCAGCGTATAGGCAGTAGGAAGTTGTTCTGAAATCACCGTAAGATTCGATGAAAGAGCACAGTCTGGTACTGGCCAGCCTATATATTATTTTTATTGTATTGTGTCGTAGTATATTGCTTATATAATCGTTAACTCATTAAATATTTGAATATTTTTTGAAACCACACCCAACAAATTAAACGTAGGTAACCTGTTTCCAACGATAATTGCACCATTTTCGTACACAATATGGTTTCATAGAAGGTAAATTCATATTTATAATTATATTATCTGCCATATAATTTTATAGAAGTTTGACTTCGTACTTGGGTACCCAAGCTCCCACTGTTTACTGTTTTTAACGTCCTTATTTATCTATGAATATATATGATACTTTATAAAGATGAATCTGTCAAATTTTACTGTGAATCAGTAAAATGTCATTTACGTATCACAAGAAGTAAACGACTTTTCACTTACAATAAGTCAATATTGATTCATTCGACTGATCTAATCATAGAGGGTATACCTTTTCTTCTCCTTAGAAGTATAGTAAGGTCTGGGAAAAACGAGGTCTGAGGCAGCATTAATGTATTATTTTTGACCTACAATTTACGCATTAGCAACGATGGGTCCGCAGGGACGTTATGAATGAACAATTTATGAAATTCTTTTTGTTGACTAAAGTAATTCTTATGTATGATTCTTAAATTTTTATTCTGTTTTTCTCTTTTATATTAATATTTTAATCTTTAAATACGTCTTGTACATGCTTAAAATTTAAGTAATCCTTTTTCTTAAGTTCTTTCTAAAAGTAATGGTATAAGTTTTAGTAGTTTCATAAGTGTATTCAGCATTTTATTTTATACGCACTAACAACATTACATTAAGAAAAGTGGTATTGAAAAAAGTATAATAACCATGGTAAATTTTACTTTATTTTTCACGAAAGCTAAGACATACTCTTCATGTTGTAAAAATTACTTTCCCATATGCACTCAGAAAAGAATCACAGCAATTTTTACCGTAAAAGCAAGCGTAATACTGTCATAATTTTTCATTACTTAAATTTGTACCACAGTGGTACATGAATTTTTATCGTAGTTAACAGTAATTTTTATGGTAACTGTAAAATTTATCCTGAATTCAAAGATATCCTCACTTTCATCTTTACGTTGCTTTCTGTAATACAGATGTTACGTCTCTCTCATTCTCTCAAATGAGTAATTCTTTAACAAACCAAACAGCTTTCTGACCGTCATATTTTTTATTTGGCTGATAATTTTGTTATGGTTTCTATATCGAAAAAAAATATATCTGTTCGAGAATTTTTTTTTTTTTTTTTTNTAAAGACATACTTTTTTTTTATCTAAACTATGTTGTATCTTTAGCAGTCAACATCCTTTGAATAGTTAAAAAAGTTTTCAGATCGATATTTCCTTCGATGACTTTGTAATCAACTAAGACATAAAGTATGCCATTTTCAGTAGAATGACCCATACATGGGTCATTCTTTCACAAACCGAACGGATTTTGCTAAAAAATAATCGTCACCTCTTCGATTTGGCTGAAAATTTTTTTCCAGTTTCTATACTAAAAAGTAAGAGATACGTGTTCGAGGAATTTTTTTTTATCGCCTATTTTCGATTTCATTACAAATTTCAGAATAGTGGTTGGAGACTTATTTTAAACAATGTGTAGCTCCGAATCCTTCAGAGCTACAAAATTTTCACCAATAACACTTTTGTAGCTAAATAGTTGAACTTTAAGAAAAAAAATTAAAAAAAAAATTATCAACAAATTAATAATGTTATTAACAATTTAATTGTTTAAATCAATTTTTAACTATTGCCCCCAAAATGAATCGATTTATTATTAATACCATCGTATTTTGCGTCAAATTTTACGTAAAAATCGGGTTTTTAAAGTAAGTATGGAAAATTGTCAATTTGTATTGTTAAAATATTAATTTATGTAGCGCGTAATAGAAAATAAAACTGCTTTTTGAGTATAAAATAATATTTGTATCTCCTATCAAAAAAAGTTGAATATGAAAGTTGTAGATATAGTTGAAAGATCTACAACTTTTGTATTTATCATTTGTCAGTATGACCTCAAAATTTTGTATTATCATGAAAAAAAGCGAAAAATCACCATTTTATCATTTATTTAGTATAAATTTTCATTCAAATTGAATCATGAGTGATTTGTTTTCCAATCTTATCTCCTGAATGATGAAAAAAAAATTTTTACTAAAGAAAAAAAAAAATTAATGACCACTAGACAAAAAAATAATAATAACAATGCTTGACGTAACATCAACACGTAAACTATCTTTTGTTCTTCAAATTTTTCTATTGCTTCTTTGTTTTTTACTGTTTAATTAATTGTCTGTTTTCGTATAAAAAATAAATTTTTTATCTCTTTGATTTTTTGGATTTTTTGGAATTTTAAAATTTCGCGGGGATGCCTGCCTGTACGATCTATGATTCAAAGTGTTACCCACGCTACTCGCGTACTTTCCCCGTACTACAAGTTCGTTAGCTTTTGGATCAGCTGTGCGTTTATTTTGGTCCGCTACCAAGACATATTCTCACTCGTAATTCAAAGTTAAATAGTTTTTATTTTGTAACAATGCCACGGAAAGAGACACGTAAAATGCAAAGTACTAGTTATCGATTAAACAGATGTTTTAATCCTTCTAATTTAAAACATCCAACAACAAATACTTCTGATTTAAGGGCAGTAAATGAAAACCAACTTTTGAAACTGGACTTGGCAATTTCGTCAGATGCATTACAACAAAAAATTTGTTCTTCTTGCCGCTTGAAGTTATCAAAATTAAAAAAATAAGATATAAAAGAGAGTGAAAATG